ATCTTTATTCTTTAAATAAACATTTAAATTGACATACTGCCTTCTGCCAAAACCAATTTTATTCACCCAAGGCAATGGTCATATTTCAATCTCACTTGTGTACTTCTTGGTTATTGTACTGTGACTAAATTTAATATTTATTGGCAAGCTTTGTTAAAACCTATCTTTACTACTTCGGAATTGAGTAAATTTCAAGAATTAATTACTGATTGAAGCTTTTAAAGGGAGCAGATAGTAGCATTTCAGTTCCACTTTTCACCACTGAACTCTAGCTTAAAACCTCACAGGTTGCAACATAAAAATGTCTCCCAGAGTTAAGTTGAACTCTTTCACAAAGTGCTTCTTGAAAGTTTAACCTATGTTCCCTACTCAGAAAAACCAAAGGGACTTAGAAATATAACTTGCTTGCAACTGACTATTACCCTTCAATCCTGATTCTATGATTTAATATGGAACACCTTTTGAACTGTTTAAAACTTCTAAATGTCTCTTTACTATTTCTCCTTCATGCCTGGCTTGATGAGACAGTCAGCATCAGGTAAGAAAGTTTATTTTAAGGTACAAGGATCTGATTGTTAACCTTTTTTCATCTCTTCTGTATTTGTGGAAGTACACTGTTACCTGTTAAGAGAATGTACAGTAGAATATTTTCATATGTTGACCAGCAGACATACAGTTTGTCTTTAAACTGCTGAATTCTTCAGACACAAAAAGGTATATAAATGTGCATGTTATTAAGATTTTGTTCTTGATTCAGCTGGCTTTTGAAGGGAAAATGATTATATATATTTTGTTCATATAATGTTATTAACTCTATGAAATGTCCTAAAGAGCATGTGAATGTGTTGTATGTAGTGAAAACTGGGTTGAAGCTGCAGTCATCTAGACAATATGACTTGGATTTGAGAATTAAAAGCAATGGGGTTTACCAGACCTGTTTTATTGGTTGGTTTTGTTTGGTTTGTTGTTTTGGGTTTTTTTAGAGAGATCAGATTTGAGATTCTTGCAAACTGAAGCATAAAAAGTAAACACAGGTTCCTTTAAATGTTACTTGTTGGAGTGACAGAGATCTAGTTCCCTTCACAAGAAGGAAGGCTGGACCCAAAACTGAAAGCCTTTAACCAATATCGACTGTATAAAAAGGAAGAGAAACTAAGAGACCCTGGGGTTCAAGTCCACAGTTTGCTGAACATGGCTGTAGTTCTTTCAGGGATAAGTATAGCGTAGAACTAGGGTATGGGGGGAGTGTTTGGCTTGGGTCCACACATCCTTCATCCCAAACCCTTTGTTGGGTTTGCCATTGTCTCTATATGCTTGGCTAGATGAATGGCAAGATCTTGGCCTAATGCTTTAGTTCCTACCTTAAGCATTTTTCCCGTGTTCAAATAGAACACTGACAAGAATCTCATGTCTGTCTTAAAAAGCTGACAGATTAGTTTCACTGTGAATAAGGTGGTTGTTCATCTATTGTAAAATCTAAGCCATACCTACACAACAGCAAACATAGAATTGGTAGTTACAAATCAGAAAAGATGTTTTCAGTTGGTATTGAGTCCCCTGACACTGGCTTAGCATGCAGCACCAGCCAAATCAGACAAGGCAACACTGGGAATTAATAGGAAGTGTATTAAAAACCAAATAAAGGGAGTTGTAGTGCCACTTGGTATCTAGATGGATGTACAAAAGTTTAAAGAAGGTCTGTAGGAAAGTTAAAGGGAACTGAGTGATGGTTGTCTTAACGCCTGTTTATGAGAGGCTAAAATGGACTGGAAGTAATCTGTTCTAGAGAGAAAACTGAAGAAGGTAGTATGATGTAAGTTTCAGAATAGGGACCACAGAACTGCTTTTCACCACTTGATCCTGCATTAGGATCCAGGGGCAGTTACTAAAACAAAAAGATTAGTTTAAAACAAATAAAGGAATTTCTGGGATTTACTGCCACGGGAAGATGTGGAAGTAGACAGCAAATGATAGGATGGACAGCTGATCTATAAATGTATGCTGAAGCAGCTAGAGAAAGATTTCACTCATATTTGCTACAACAGCTTCTGGCCTGTGAAGAGAACGGAGGCTTGATAATATGAACATCCTGTTGTCACTGTTGGAGATACCATATTAGGCTGATGGACCATTGCCCTGAGCCAATAGGACTACAGTAATGTTCCTCCCTTGAAAAAAGACACTGCTTTTTCTTTTAGAAGTGTAGAGTCTCACTTGCTAGACTGTATATGACAGTGCAAAACTTAATTTTAGGAAACCTCAATTTTAGAGCTTTACACTGGCCTTAGCCACTGGTATTTAATTGCATTGGAGTGCAGGCTGTCTGCAAGTTGTCACAAATACTTTAAGAAGCCATACAAAGCTTTCTTTTTGCAATAAAAATTCCAAATAATCAAGCTCCTTCAGAAGTGCTTCTGAACAAATATTAGGTTGAAGGGCCACTGAACAATCTTTAACTATGAAAGCACACTTGCCCTTGTCAGTGCAGCCTAGTATGGTGTTAGCCTTCCACACTGCCCAAGGACGGTGTGGATTCGAGTTAGCATCCCTTTCTCAGGGCCCCATTGTCCTCTTGAGCAGTGCTGCTCTCCAGCCTGTTGATTCTCATAATACAAACAAGGTCTATGCCACAGTATTCCGGCTGAGGTGGCCATTTCTGAAGCAGACAAATTCTGGAGCTCTATGACCATTGATAGACATGTAGTGTGTATTCTCTGCAGTATGTTGTGTTTCTTCACAGCAGAATGTTTATCCTTGCATGTGAGGAGTGCTTAGAAAAAAAGGCAGGCAAGTGTAAAGCTGCAGATCAAAAGTGTTTCTGGAAAGTCAGAGATTTGTTATTCTAATGAAAGGATGCACAAAGAAAACACAGTGTTTTCTGAGACTCCCTTTAGGAATTGGCAAAGGCGGTGTCTATTCATGATTATCTTCACCAACAGCATTTTCCAGACTCCCATTTGGAACACCTGTTGCCTAAAACTGTGAAACCATGATTTTGTCATGTTACCTAAATAACTTCATCTAAAGGTATCATGTTTAATTCTTCAGGAAAACAGTTGAGGTCATTGGCTTGGCTTTCTGAGTGTTCAAAACAACTAACATTGAGTATCAGCATTATAATTTCAGGTGAACCAATGGCTTAACTGTACAGACCTAAAAGCATATAATTTCTTACTCTAATATGAAGTTTGTAGTCACTTGTACAGCAGTTCTTTTTTTTCCTGTGGTAAGGGTGGAGAGAAATTGTTGGCTTTCTGTGTTTTATTTTCTTAGTGACTAAAACTGATAGCTGTTTTGGAAAATTCATGTGGAAGCTAATCTGATCATATTGCAGGATATTTTCAGGAATAATATTTCTAAATAACACAAGAATGTCTGTACCAGTCCTTCTGCATCTAGGTATATAAGCTAGTTAAATTTATCTATTCCAGATATATTTATATTTGATATAAGCTGTTTTTGCTTGCATCATGAGTTATGCTATACAAGTGTGGAGTTCTGTTTTTCTTGTCTTTATACAAAGTCCTCATGAAACAACAGCAGCCTATGTGTATGTGAAAAAAATGCCAAAAACTAATGTTAGTATGCATAATAACCACAAAGGTTTAGCTCTACATCATATACCCATATTCCTAACAGGGATTTTTTGCTATAACATCAAAAGTTGGAGTTTTTACATGCTAACATGCAATTTAATGGCTTCTAGCATGATTATGACTCTTGTGATCTTTTTTCAACTCCTTTTTTATTTTCATCTTCTGCCTAAGCCCATGGTAAGTACAGAGATGCCTTCTTCCCCACATGGACAGGTAAAAATCTCCTATTGGTGTCAGTACCGAGGACATACAAGCACTTCTTATTTATCAAAATGAATATTGCTTCAGATTTCTGAAACATCAAGCAGATTTCAGTAAAGAAACTCCTTCAGCATTTTATTCCTTCTATTCTCCAGGTCTCTTACTGTAAAAAGCTGCTTCCAAATTAGCACTAGGTACATCTTTTATGCTTTTAGAGTGACATTAGGAAGGTTCCATAATCCATTTTTAATGTTTATCTGCATCCTTGGGATTTTTTATCTTAATACTCATAGACTGTCAAACTGACCCTGAGGTATTTTCTACTAAAAGCTAATTAAATTCTAGCTCAAACAAACCAAACCACCACAAAAACAACCACCTCCAGAATGTCTTCCATGAGTTGCAGTTATTTTTTATTAAATTAATAGGGGACTTGCCAAACTTCAGTGCTTTGGGTCTTAGTTTTGAGTAGTTTGAATTCATGGTTAAAATTGTGTATCACTCTGCAGCACACTGAATTACAATGTTATCTCTGCATGGTCAGATAGTAATTTTCTCTTGTTTGATATTCTCTTAAAATTGCAACTATAATCTCTTTATGCTGTACAGAGATGTTTCTCTCATACTACTTGATCTGAAATCTCACTGGATCTGAATTAGATAATTAAGACAATGTTACAATGTAGACTGAACTAAACATACTCTTGGGGATTTTTTTCTGTGACGCAATATTTACATGGGACTCTGCTCATTGAAGGGGGGGCTTTCTCAAGTAAGAAATGAAGCAATATGAGAAAGAATGGAGCTGTGAAAGTAAAATGTTAAGGCCAAAAGTGCTGTCAAAACAAATAGGCCACTCTAGAAGATAGACACTACCCTTGTGGGGATATTAAAGATGCAGTAAAAGCAGTCTCCCATTACTGATTCTAGGTACCTTGATTATTAAGCCTTAAAACTGTAATACTCGAAGTGCTCATCAAATGTGCTACTTTCAGATCTTTCATTTTACCCAGTAAGAGTTCAATGAGGCATTTCTTGAAAATGCACTTGTTTTTTTGCTTTTTTTTTTTTTTTTTTTTTTTTTTTTGTTTTTTTTTTTTTTTTTTTTTTTTTTTTTTTTTTTTTTTGGTTTTTGTTGTTTGGGTTTTTTATTGTTGGACCCTTGAGCTGTGATTAACTGTCAACTTCCACTTTTTCTAACAGATCAAATGTCTAAAAGGCCAGAGAAACTTCTCAGACCAACCCACTTTTGATGGGATTCACATTGTCAACCATTTCACAGGAGATGATGAATCATTTCATTCTTCTGATGAAGATTTTATAACTAACTCCATACAGGAGAGTGGGGTGAACTTTCATCTTCCCAGGAGGACTGGTCAGATGTCTTTGGATCACACACTTGTAGACAGCAGTGACAGTGATACTGAGGAAAGTGCCCTTCAGACTGGGAATTCTGACAAGATGGTTTCTAAGCAGAGAAGAATGGAATCTTACTCTACTACTGTGTGATTATCACTGTGACTAGCACTGAAGGACTTCCATATTTCTTTAAGGCTGAAATTTTGAGGGAACTGAAACCATCCAGCAGTTGGTTTAGGTAACTATTGGATTTGGTCTGGCCTGTGATAAATATATATACATGTACTGTCTATCTGCCTTCTCTCTTTGCCAAATCTTGCTAATGACATACCATTGCCATAAAACAGGCCGGGAAGAAGTTGATGGATGACAGTTTTGACAGTATTACTGAATGTTCTTTGGTTTAGAAACTGCAAATATATTATTTCTTTAATGTGTAAGAAGCAGTTTTGCTGTTCACAAACACAGGAATTATTTTCCTCAAAAGAAATTGCTTTTGTGCAATATTTTATGCTCTGAACAAATGTGTATGTTTTACATTGTTATCCTTTTGTGATCAAGATGGACCCTAGTGAACCATCTGATCATGACACACATATATATATAATTATCTTATGCTTCTCAATTAGTTTTGTTTTTTTACTGAAGTTATTGGATGCCCACAGAAGGCTTGAAAGGCAAGCCTTTATCTGTACTACTTCATATAAGCAAGTAATGGTCACTAATGTCATAAAGGTGTTTTTCACTACTTTCACTTAAGTATATGTGCATCTGCTTTTGATGTTGCTAAATAATAAATGGTCTGAATATGTTAATTACAATAATGTTTATTTGTACATATTTATGTATCTACACCAAGCTGAAACTGTACATTACTCCATTTTATATGAGGAATGTAAATGTTGCGATATTACTGTCTCTGGTATTCTAACAGGAAAATGAATTCTGTATATACACACTAAAAGTGAATTACTAAATAAAGGCAAAACACTAACTTTGCATTAAGTTTCAGCCTAGCTACACTAACAGGCTCATGTCAGAAATGCTTGTTCAAAACACTATTGACTGAAATCTTTTACCTTCATGTATATGTAATGAAAATAAATTTTTCATGATTTAACAAGGTTGCAGCATTTACTGTTTAGTCCCTTCCAAGCTATAGTCCTTGGTTACCACATAGTTACTTGTGGGCTCTAGCTAGGTTCAAATAAGGTGAAAAATTATTCATGTCTGAGTTTTAATAAAGACATGGTCATTGCAGTGAAAATATGTACATTCAGTCCTCTTACACTTTATATTACAGAGCTATCTAAGAAATAAGCTATTGCTGCCATCACCAAATAGCTTCAATTGAGCAAAGCAGTAAGAGCTGAGCAATCTGCTTCCAGTCTCCTGAAAACTGAGATCCAGTCAAACAGCCTTAGCTTCTTGAACAGAACAAGATCTTCTTCATGTGAACATTTACATGCACTTGCAGACACATTCAAGAGTCAAGAATATTCTGTTATTGCCATCTTATGTAATTAGGCAATCCTTAAGACTTCTTTTAGCAATGTTTGCAACTGTTCTATTAAATGAAAAGTAGTGATGCAGAAGTCTGGTACTGATGGGCAGTGTGTATGTTAACTGGCTTGCTACCCACAAGAAGCAGTGTAGTTTGTTTAAAATTGCAAAAAGTGTGGAAGCATTCTGCTGAATGCATCTGCTAGTCCCATTAGGCATTTCCTTTCCCTTTATTTCAAATGCATTTTCAGAAAGAAACAGCATGACTAGGAGATTACAAACATTCAAAGAATGATAGAGAAGACTGTATGGAATAGTCTTCTCTACACATTATGGGCATCTCAACAATATTATCTGCCCAGGTGCAATATAATTTAAATCTTCAAGCATGTAGGTGACAAATTCCAAATTACTGATTTCTGCAGCTCCTAATTTGTTTCAGTATTTCTGCCAAATTTCCCCACATCTGACCAGTGAATATGTAGCCCCAAGTACAGCCTGTGGAAATTGCCACTTCTGGATTGGATTAGCTGAGTGATTCTTATTCCTGTTGAAAATGTCACATATACAAAACCAAATCAGGAGCACTTTTGTTCACAAATGAGTAACAGTTGTCTTCTTTCCTTCCAATGAGCATCTGCTAACTTATATTTGCACCTGGATCATTGTTGCCCAAGAGGATAGGTGACAAATGTCTTGTTGCCTGTCATCAATACCAGCTGCAGGCCTCTCTTAAAGGTAATGTTCTGTAATAAGTGGCAGGCGTAAAATTCAGTTGGAGGGCCATAAAAACGGTGTCTGTTTGAATAGTGAAATGTTATGATTTTGCAATAACTGCCTTACGGTTCAAGTGATAGCAAATGAGATTAGATGGCAAGGGTTATTTCCTGAACTTTTGTGGTTTTAAAGTATACAAATAGAATAAATACTAAATAACAGCATAAATAAAAATATGCATTAGTCCTTAACCAACTGACTACATCTCTTCTAGTGATAAAAGTGAATCACTGAACATATTGCAGTTTCAGACTTGGTTATACACTGACTATCCTAGAAAGACAGCTTAGGATAGGTTCTTCAGAATCATTCTGCTTTTTTTCCAAGCCTTCTGGCAAATAAATGACACTAATCTTTTTGCCTATGTATATTATAATTTGAATATACATCAGAATAATGACAAATCATTAACATAATAGACAATATATAAAATAATGTCAATAAATAAAACATGTTAATTATGCTACACATCATGACCTTTCTTTAATGACCTTCTAACAAATATTGCTATTTGCTTAGATTTGCTCTTGCACGTAGGCTGGAAAAGCTCAACATGAATACTAAACACATAAGGTAAAAAAACATGGAAATATGGAAATTCAGATTCCTGAATATTCCTGCAGCTGAGAAGACAGGTGGAACAGGGAAGGGGAATGCCCTTCTAAATGTGGAGTTTTTGTGAAAATGACATTTAATGTTTGGTAGTGAAGATGGTTTGGATTTCCCCGGTCTGATAATCAAGTGTCTTTACTAATCAGTGAATCCTCTACATTTCTTATTTCTCCACGCTAGAGGAGTGAATATTTTAGGTACTAATAACATTTATTGTAATACCTCTTATAAATCATTTCACTTCATGTGTTAGAAGTTTGTAACATTTATGAAAAATTTGTAATGTGACTAGTTGGGAGAAAGTACATCTGTGGAGTTAAGAAACGTGTATTGCATTCAGAGCTCAACAACTATTTATTCACTTTGGTCAGGTTTTTTTGTTGTTTCTCAACAAAAAGCAGGCATCATCTATATACACATCCACAAAGCACTATTTTCCATTAAATTCCATTTTCAACTGTATATGCAATTTCTATATTAACTAAAATACATTGCTACAAAAAGGATTAAAAGAAGCATTCACATTGGAGTTTGCATAAATTTATTAAAACTGCTTTGTACATACTGCTATTGAACTTGATCAGTACTGAACCCTTTTGTGGAACTGCAACACAGAAGGACCTGCATGTTTTTCTGAGGTATTAATGTGATCACTGATATCAGAGACAGTGCTAGTGACTTAGTGAAACTTGATGCTTAAACACTTAAGCTAGAATGACTTAAAGATATGTCAGCATAAAAATATCCACATTTTATACATGATATGCTGCTAATTCCCCAACCTGTACAGGCTCCAAATAACAATTCACTTGGAGGAAAGGTACAGATTCCCTAGGAAAGCCATTGTGGTAGTCCTGGAGACTAAAATTTTAAAAATCAACCTAAAAGGTAGAAGTTAGTGCAATCCATATGGAAACTACAGTGTTATGTTCAATCATGCACAGCAGCTACTAACTCTGTGTATTATGTGTATTATGAGGGAAGATGAAAGTTATGAATAACTATTAGATTTCTAGATTCAATTAAGTACATTTTTGTTCTCTGTAATACTCTTATCAGTATATATTCTGTAATTGTCTGAGAATTTTACCTGCTGATGGAGTTTTTTGATGGGTTTTGTTTTGGTTGGTTTTATTTTTTTTTTTGGGGGGGGGTGGGTGAATTGGTTGGTTGGTATTGGTTTGGGGGTTTTTTTGTTTACAAACTAGTCCAAGACATAAGAAAAATAAGCAAAATGCATTTACACAGTAGGCAACAGAAATTCTGAATGATGGAAAGTACACAATAAATTGACTTTCAATATAACCTCTATATAGCATGACATTTCAGCTTCAGAGTAAACATATTAATGTATGCATACCTACTCATGCCTGGACACTAAGACACAGCTGCTAGATTCAAGATACAACAGCTTAATGCTCTCCTTTTCCAGGAACTAATGTTTACCTTATTTCACAATTATGAAAAACAAAAGCAATGTGGCATACTCTCTGAATTGCATAGTACTGCACAAGTGACAGAAATTGCTGGAGCCCCACTATAAAAACTAGAATTCTTATGAGAACATTTTGCATAGTCCATGTTCTGTAGCTACTGATTCAACTGTTTTCTGTTCATAATGGAGGTACATTCTGGGTCCATTCCTTCCCAGAGCTAAAATCCCTCTTTTCATCCCAGCCTTCAACACCACAGTCTACCATCACTTTCTCTCTCCAGTTTGTGCTTACAGTGATAATTTTCTAATCTCTAATCTGCTCTGGGAGCAGCAGAAGTTTCTTTGGTTTCCCCAGCAATAAAAAAAAAAAAAAATGCAATCAAAATCATTGATTTAATTCTGACATTTTTACAGCATGGGTTTATGCCACAAGGAGGACCACAGAGAAGGCAGTGACAAGATGCTGAGAGAAAAAAAAAATAAACAATAAGCAACATGTTAAAAGTATATTTTTAAAAGTTTCACAAAGGTAAAGACACACTTCCCAACAGAATGCACAGTGCTACAAGTTCTAGCAGCTTTTCATAGTGGAACTGTTCTGCATAACTGTAGTCCCAAGTTTTATCACTTTAAAGTGAGTAAAAATTCCCCACAGTGTCATCCTTTTTGCTGCCTCTCCCAGTTCTGACTCCCCCACACAGGAAACTGCTTCTCCTCCCCTCTGTACCAAGCGGCAATCCTGTTCTTCAAATCCTTCCTCCTGTTGCAAAGTGTCTCATCACTTCTGAATGCAAAGATCTCACCTCCAGCTTGTCACCTGTGGTGCCTTATCTGATATTGTTTTAGCTCTAAAGCTGACACCAAGCAGCTACTGTAAACCGTGCAGTGAATTACACTGAGTAGCTCTTCAATCTTAAAACACGACTATAACATAATCCCACCCTACTTTAACAACCCCCCCCCCTTTATTTATTTCTTCCCCTCTCTTGTCACTGTGGTGTAACAATCATGTGCCATTGCATTCAAATGCATGTTACCAAGTTTTTATGTCACACACCCTTTCCAATATCACACTCCCTTCTGAGAAGCATTAGAGTAACTTCGTTAAAACCCAGCCTTACATTTCCCATGATCTACATCGCTGTGCCAGCTCTGGGCGTGGCGTATGGCTTTTCCACGCTGGACCACAGAACACTTGGCATTGTCACACAGCTCGACACTGCACACGCAAGACCATCTCAATGGTTACTGAGCTGCGGCACACAGGTCGCCCCGTAAACCAAGAATAAAAGCTGAACCCCTTCACCTGTGCTCGGCGCGCTGATAGTGCAGATAGCGGCTCCTCCCGGGGTGGGAAGGTCCCTGGGACGATGGCTGCGGGAGGCAGCTGAGGGCGGCCCTCAGGGCTTCCCGCGGCAGCGGCCTCGCGCCGCCGCCCGCGGGCACGTGACACAGCAGCCCGCGCGCACGAGGCGGCCCCGCGCCGGGC